AAGCGAACAGAACACAATGAGAGACGTTGCGCGCGGAAACGCAGGAGGCGCGAGAACGCAGGAGGCGCGGGAACACAGGACAGCGCCCGATTCACCGCCGTTTTTTATTTTTGGCGGTACTTTAAAATCTGTTGTCAAGGTAGGTGCAGGAGCACAACTACATAGTTTCCATCCGGACGAGACATACTTGGGAATAATTAATGTTATGAGAAACTGAAAACTTGAAATTATGTTAATACATTAATTATTGCATTCTCACTAATCCTCTTTACGAATTATTTTCAGATTCGATTTATATTCAATGTAATGTAATATTGGTAATTGGGAGTAAATTAAAAATTAAAACTCTTATTTAAAAAATAATTAAATTACGAGATGTTCTCCTTATTTTCATTCTAACTTGGAACCGACAATGATTGAAGAGAGATGAAGTTATATATATATATATAGTATATATGTAAATATGCGAATAGAAAATGTAATTTAATCACGTTGCCGATCCCGAATAAAAATAAGAAGGACATCTCGTTATTTGACCTTTTTTTAAATAAGACAATTTTTAATATACTTCCAATTATCTATATATTATATTTCTTATAAATCGAATCTAGAAGTGCAAAATAATTCGTAAGAAGAATTAGTCTGCAATAATTGATGTATTACTTCAGTTTATTAGTTTCAAGTTTTTATGTTTATCATAAGATTAATGTTTAAATTTTTTGTAACAAACGTTGTAGTAATAATTATAATTTGTTTAATGTTTTGCAATGCAATAATTACTCGCATTTGGTTCAATTATGAATTAAGTTTTAAATTATTAAAGTATAACGGTCAGCAACTTCAACGATGCAAGTAAGGATTTTATCCTAATGTATCAATTTTTCTTTCAGTTTGGTGTTATTATAATGATAATTTTTGGTATCTACAAAAAAAAATATAAGAAAATGTAGAAATAAAATGATTCCCGAGCATGATTGATTACTAATTGATTAATAATTAATTATTCTTTCGCATTTAAATTATAAAAAAATAATTATAAAACGTTTATGCTTTAAAATTTACAATTGAAATCGCTCAATTGAAATCGCGAGAAGGAGGTGATCTTTTTCAGGAGGAAAATAAAAAATAATTATTTTTTATTTAACATTTTTAATAATTATTTTTTATTTAATATTTTTAACATTTTTAATTATAATAATAATAATTATTATTATTAATTTGCTGTCCTCGCCCACGATGAGCACGACCGCCTTTTTCGCAAGGACGCCCTCGCCCTCGCCCTCGCGGTGATGTGCCCCAGAGGTTACAAACTCCTATTGTTCTTCGTTTATCAGTGTTTGCAGCGCCATCACATTCTTACAGGGCAATGAGAACTAAAGTCCTAACCGCACGATTCAAAATATGTATTTAATGTATGCTACATACATATAATAAATAATACCAAAAATTATTGTATCTTAAATATAAAATAAAATACTTGCAATATACAGGGTGGACCATTTTAATCCATTCAGTCGAATATCTCGAAAAATAAGCACACTAGGAATAAATGTTTCAGACAAAAGTTGTAGGGTTTCGA